GGGAAAGCCGTGTGTGCTGTGGTGCGATAGGACTAGGAAGAAACTTTTGTGATGAGTGAAGTCAGTAGGAACAGTTGGACTTTGTTTTCCTTTGAAATTACTCTGGCCTAGAATTAGGCTGTACCCTGGACTGGACGTGCCTGCTGTGCGCTGTGACTGTAAACGCGGAGCCAACTTGTTTGCGAGAGCTGTCCTTTGATCTGCAGGGTGGAACAGTTGTTTCTGGCTCATCAATGCACACACTGCCTGCATTCCATGTTGATTGTTGTTCTCTGCATACAGCGTTCTCTTTAACTGTAAAATCAGGCATTGTGGTTGTTGAGCATATCACGTAGGCCTGCTTCCATCTTATGCAAACAACTCTTCTGAACACAAAGCACGTTCGGCAAAGGGAAGGTAGGAAGCAGGGAGTGTAGTTCCTCGCACCAGGCAAGTAGCAGAATGACAAACAGGTGAACTAGCAACATGTTTAGCATTGGAGGGTTTGGGTGCCTGATGGCTGTGAAGTAACGTGTTCTCATCAGGCTGGGGGGGACCTATGCTTGACTTAAGTGTGGATGTAACAACCCTGAGATCTTCCCCCAGGTGCTGACAACTTTATTCCCATCAAAAAGGGGTGATACTGTACACGTAAGAGATGAATAGTCACTGTAGTAGGCATCGTTTGCACCAGCATGGCACCCTGCATCTCCTACAGACCTTTTCTCACTCAGGTATTCCTTGTGTAGTAGCGGTGGCTCTCGTCAGCCCAAGATGCTGTCAGGAAAGGACTTACCAATGCAGACATTGCTCGTTGTACTGCTGCCTTCCCTGTCTTGAAGTAAGCTAACTTAAGTGTGTTATGCATACAACAGTGCTTTTGTACAGCACATATCAGGTACTGATACGTGAGCAGAGCTCCTGCAGAACAATTAGGAGAGCATAAATGCTGCTTTCTGACCACTTTGAAATTAGCTAATTTTCTTAATGACCAGCATAAATTCTACAATTGCCTCTCAAGTTCTCTTGAGAAGTCTGTTTCAGTTTAAGCAATTAATAAATTGTGCCTATCACTTTAGTATCAGGATGATTTATGGAAATTATAGTAACTACAAATTTGCAGTATTTTTGTGCCAAAATTCCATGAAAAGCATATTCCGAGCCTATGGAGATGGACATGAATAGTATTGATGCTGCAGATATCAAACTGTAGAACACAGTAAGCAGAGAGAACGGTAAAGAATTACTAAAATACCACCTCTTTTAAATGTGCAAAGTGCCACGTAGATGTCATAAAATGAAAACTAGACTAGCAAAGAACAGTACTCAATTTAGGAAGTGGTATCATTAAGATGTTTGAATGTGCTACTGTTTCTGATTGGGTAATCATGCCTCTTGCGTGCTACGTAAGCTAGGACTCTTGCAGAAATAGTATGTGACTGCTATAGTGACTGTGTAAGAGGGGACAGAGATAAGTTTGAAAATTCAGTCACAATTTGGGCATTTCCTGGTGTTTTGGAATGCCGTTTGTTGCCACAGCATTTTTAATAGATTTTTGTTTGATGCTTCTCTTGCTGTCAATGACTTGCCTCCCCATAGAGATGGAACACATCTTATGCTCCAAGACTGGAGACTTTCACGGAGGCTGGCATGGAGTGGTCTATTCCCTTCAGATTTAGTGGGAACACTGAGGACTGTGTGTGTTGATATAAAGTTCTGCTTGCTTCATCATGGAAGTTGATATTGTGTTTTCTTTTTCCAAACCTACAGCTACATGTTGTGAAAACCTCACTTGTTTCGTGGACTATGTACAGACCCTGTCCTGTATCCTGAGAAATGACTTGGATCCCAGTTCATATAACCTCACTGCAACATGGTACGTCTCAGTAGGATGAGCAAAGTCCATTCAGCAG